ATCAAACACCCACTTACACTCGAATACCCTTTATATGTAAACATTTAAGACCTTATGGGCTATTTCTCGTATCAAATATGAATTAGGATGAAGCCAGGTAGCAAGCATATTGAAGAAGATAAATAAGTTGCCATTAGATTTTATCATTAACGTATTCAAATGATATATTTATTTATATAGTATTAACTTGAATATACAATATAATAGGTAAAATTTTAGGGGTTGTTCTTTTCGTATTTCAATTTTTAGTTTTGTATTTTGAATTCACTTTCAATTTTGTGTTTTGCATGTCTGTTTTTAAATTGCTGAAAATACATTCTTTTTGTCATTCTGAAAAAATGTTTCTCAAAACAGAAAAGTGAAAAACGCGTTTACTTTGAAATTTTGAGAATCTTTTTTTATAATATTTTATTCAATCAATCTGATTATTCAATAAATTTTAATATTGCTAAACTTTCTCATCTAATTCAACGGTNTGAGAATCTTTTTTTATAATATTTTATTCAAAAATTTTGATTATTCAATGAATTTTAATACTTTAATGTGAATATAGTATTAAATAACAAATAAATTCTGAAATTGGTGAATCTTGAAATATTTTTTTCTAGATATAAAAGACACGACCTAAATGAAATTTGGCAAAACAATTTAATTGATACGATTAGAAATTTACGTGTCATGACAAAACAAGCAAATACTAAACAAAATATAAAATAAATCCACGGAATCATGTACGACGTCTTGAGTAGTCATTCAACATGTGTAGCAATTTGATCTCTGACTTGTCCTATTTGAGTTGTTTGACTAGCATCAAAATGTATGACTTTTTGATTTTAACCTGACTCTGATATATCTTGAAACATTATATTCTCCTCTGAATACTTAGCGAACAACATATCTAAAGTGTACTACTTAGCTAAAAACATTATATTCTCCTCTGAATATTATTTTAATTATTAAATGATTTTTAAAATGAGTAAAAATTTAAAATAATATTAAAATAAGGAAAAAAAATTTACGCCTAAATTTCGTCTAAATTTGCTTCAGGTCGTAAAACTTGAAGTTTCACCTTCACGCCTAATCACACTTCACGTTTTTCAGAACACTGCTAATACTCGCCATAATAGATTTATAACTATTAATGAAAACAACTCTGGGATTGACAATTTCTAAGCACATATTTGATTAATGTTTATAAACTGATTATAATAAGTTAAATAACTTTTTATTTATATATTTAGTGAATTTCAAAAATATTATATACTTATACATGTTCATTTTTATTTAATTATAATTTAAATAGTTTATAAATACTTTCCAAACATGTTACTATGTCATATTCAATTTTACCATTATGTATATGTAAGTAGTTTTAATGAATAGAATATAGTGCTATGTTTATTCATCTCCTTATGTAATACTAAAATTATAATTTCATTAAGATTATTATTTTTTTTGATAAAGAATTAAGATTATTATTTTACTCAATAGGATTACTATTATTTTTTGCAAGTTGTCTCCTTCTGTGGTTCATTTATGTAAATAGAGCTTTATTCTATTTTTTGCAAGTTGTCTCCTTCTGTGGTTCATTTCCTTCTGTGGTTCATTTCCTTCTGTTTCTGCAAGTTGTCTCCATCTGTGGTTCTGTAAACAGAGGTATTAGACATGTTGCGATTCCTAGAAAGTGAAAAGGACTGATTGTGAATATAGAGTAAGAGTTAGTCAGCTTACTTAAAAGGAATTTTTTAAATATTGTTTAATTAATCTACTATGTTTAATTACTTATTTATTTAAATAGAATTACTATAAAATAAAAAATTTATGTTTAACTTTTACCAAAAAATAAAAATAATTGTATTTACCCTTAAGCTGATCGTTAAACAACAAAAATCAATATAAAATTTGTTGATTGATCGAGAAATCAACACATTCAAGAGTTGACTGAGTCTTTTAAGTTAACATAATTAGTCATAGAATATAGGCAGATGAGGCTCAAATTAAAGTGCTCAGAAATTATCAAAGAACTAGAGAATTGTTGTGCAGTAGGGCTTAAGTTTTTAAACCCGTGATACGAGTTCAATTGTTGTGCAGTAGGGGTAAAGTTTTTAAACCCGTGATACGAGTTCTCAATGCAAAAGAAAAGGCATCATATGTTGATACCTCTCAGTAACAATCTATGCCTCTTCTTTCAATTCTAATTACAAATATATTTAACCTCCAAGTATATTTAGCCTATATTTGTTATAAATTCAAATTTAGATTTTAATCTAAATCACAGGCAAAGCCATTTAGGGACAAGGGTGGTTAGTTGCCCACTCATTTTTTTTTTTACAAATTAATGTAGGAGATATTACACCGATA